GTAAGAGTCTGCGGCCTGTCCTCGGTGCCGGTGTATCGATTGAAGCGCCTCTTGAGATACAGGTGGGATAGACCGTGTTGGAGCTTTCGGGCGTACGGAGATGGAAGCTGACCGTGTTGGAGGAGTGACAGTCTGGGCATGGGTAGGAGGCTTTGGACGACTAGCTGACGGAGCAGGAGAATCAAAGAGATCGACGTTAGGCCCAGGAGGCGGCGGTGGCACCTGAGGTCGCTTACGTCTCGCAGGACTGACATATGCCTGCGCCTGCTGCTCTTCAGCTGCAAACCGTGAAAGTCGAGATTTAGGATCTTGAGAGCTTGATCGGGACGGACGCTGGAGGAAGTTAGATTGCTGCCTTGGCTGGACAGCACCAGAGGATTGTTGATGACGAGGAGGTTGACTTCTCGGGTCGGGGTGGTGACTTTCACGAGGACGAGAAGATTTCCTGGGTCGACCATCTCCAGACTCAAGAAGAAGTGCTTCATCAGTAAAGTCCTGTTGCTCTTTTTGGGATTGAGCTGGCTGATCACGACGACCTGGACGCTGCGGCTGCAGAGGAGGTTCGTCTTGAGTAGAGGATGCATCTCTCATCCAACGCGGTTGGCTGGGGTCATGTTCGTTGTTGAATTCATTTACAGCTTGTTGGAATTTCTTGCTACCAGTCTTCCAAAGCGAGCCGGCTGATTTCAGAAGGTTATTACCAAATTGAGAGGCGACCTGCACAGGGTCTTTGTCCGCTGATGCTGGACTCCGTCTGTCCTGACGCGATCGAGATTCTGCTATTTCTTCTCTCATCCATGAAGGCATGTCGCGGTTACGACTATCACTCCTGTCAGCGCGATCGGCAGAACGAGTTGCACTAGAACGTCCTTCAGTCTTCTGCCGTGATTCAGCATGGGCCTGGGTAAGAAGCCAACCAACAGCAGCCTGAACATCGGTCCCAGACTCCGTGGTATTCAAAGCCCGGCGAGATTTATTAGCAGGGAATCCCATGTCCACCAGCTCCGCAACAGCCCGATCGACTTCGTTGGAGGGCACTGGAGATGTATGTTGGTCTCGTCCTCGATCTGATGGTGTAGTGGATGTGGGAGGCGAATCCTGGTGGGGGATATCTGATACCGGCTTCCCGAGCAAACCAAGGAAATCATCATCGTCGGCTTGTTGAGGCTGAGGAGCCGGAGCGGATTTCGGTTTCAATTGATTGAGGCCGAATGGGTCATCGTCATCAAAGCCGTCCATACCCCCAATGTTGTTCTGCATGGAAATTCCCCCATTGGAAGATTCAAGGCGCCTGTTCGTATCGATTGGAGGCGAGGATTTCGGGGAGTTGGGGACTGGGAAATGGGTCGAAGCGTCCACTGGCGCTGCCGCATCGAAAGCGGCCAGAATATCCTCATCGTCCGCGGGTGGTGGTGCGGATCGAGGCGCGGGTACAGATGCGGGGCTCCGCACACGTCCCTCAAGGTTGTCCCAGAATTGGTTGTTCTGGCCTCCGTATTGCGATTCGAATCGACTGCGATTATCGGCTTCCTTCTTCGCTTTTTCCTCCTGCAAGCGCTTCTGCTGTTCCATGAGAGAAAGGTTTTTGTTCCCGGCGGAAGAATTGAATGAGACCAGATTCGCGAAGCTATCTCCGGCAGAAGTGACGGGTTTCGATGGTGAGCTTGAGCGGTTCGAAGTCGCAGATAACGGGGTAGACCTGCCGGAGCCGCCATTTGATGGGATACTTGGGTACAAGTACCCAGAGCTCATTGGTGGTGGCCTGCTTGGGGTTTTAGACTCGGAGGACCAACTCAGGCCGTTTAGGTCTTCCATGGTGAGCTTGTCGCAGAGGATGATGACTTCTGGTTGGTTCGAATGAGGATTAGGTCCCAGAAGAGGGATGAAGGTTTTCCATGATCTCACCAGCTCACAATGTGAAAGAAGCCCGAAGTAATTTCAATGACCGTTTGCTCTCTCAAGCATATGCAGAACACTCGCCCCCTACATGTGGGGGATCCAGACCGCATTGAGGCCGGCACGTGATGCTATGGTCTCCTCTCTCACATTTTGAGATAATTTTATATACTTCAGTTGTTGTGTGAGGTAACATCAGCTCACTAATCTGGTTGTTCGATGTTTTGAGATTGAGGTTGAATGGATCTCAGAAATCACTTACCTCTTAACAGGAAATAAGCTAGTCCAAGATGTTTGCACTGACGTCGATATGAGAGAAAATCCCAATCCAGAGACATTCGACCCGTCTCCTCTGTTTTTTTTTGGGGCATTTCTATACTATACATTGATTTCTTAATCACTCACTGATCATTCAAATTGCCCTTGATACCCCAAAACAACCTGTGGGGGGTACCACAGACATCGCCCCAGTTGCTCCAGCCAACTGACCCCACAAACTCGGCAAATCCGACAAATGGACAGACAATACACCTGAAAGGCAGGGAAAATTGTTGTGAAAAAGCAGGAGTTCCCACCGTGTTAGCTTCTGGGTCCTCCGAATGTGCATCAAGGCTTGCAAGCCCATCGTTTGGCCTGTCGGAAATTTGCTGATGGCCCCTTCCTTCGCCCTCTGTTTAGGGACTAACAGCTGACAATCTAAGCGGCAAAAAGCCAAAAAAAAAAAATTCGTTCAAAATCCGAAAGAGATCATCGGTTCATGGACCTATTCGGAAGAGACCTGATTTTAATATTTAGGCACAAGTCCTCCATACAAACGGAGTACCTCATAGCAACCCCGGCCGAAACTAAGCTGTCATTCAATCAAAGTAAAACAAAGTGCGGAGTACCAGGGGATCTCCCGGCCTGGACGAGGCGATGTTGTCTCCATTTCTACTCCGTACTTTGGCCAACGCACATCATATCCCAATTGGGAACGTCATAGGTGGGAAATCCAATCCTTGGCTCAGCCTAGAACTATTTTGTCTTTTCTTGAAACTTCAAAAAGGGGGGTATTTGGAGATGCAAGACGTATGCACTCCGTAATTTCTCTCGAGCTACTCCATACATAGTCCATACCCCCCCCGTATTAGTGTTTTTTTGAAACCCTTAGACAGGGGCACCATACGCTAAATTAGTGACGTTAAATCAGTTAAAGTTTTTAGAAAAAATCACCAAGTGAGAAAGCTCTATATATTAGCGCCCGAGATTTCATATCCTTCCAGGAAGTCATTAGAGGATGGAACCCATTCTTTGCGAGGTTGCGGTGATTGCGTGGCCAACCCCTTGCTAGAACAACATCATAATCAAAAATCACTTTCGGCTCTTGACCGTGGCCTTAGTGCCTCGTACGCTCGATATTTGTCAATCTGAGGGGCGATAGGATCTACAGTAGAAACGGTAGTCCCATGCTCTGCATGCACGTGCATGGGGGTGATGAGCATGAGAGGGAGTTGGAAGTGATAGATATCTAAAGTGGGGAAGAGGCAAAGGTAGCGAAGCATTTACGCAATTCGAACATGGGACTGCCGTTTGAACATGGTAGCTGCCCAGGTGTATCTGATCGACGACAGGTGTGAGCGGCTCATCTAAATAGGCACCTACATACCAGATTTCCTTTTCCATCAGAACAGGGGATCCAAAGCCAGGCCAATCAACAATGTCCTATAGCAGCGGACCTGACACGTCCTCGCTTCGCCAACAGTTTTCTACCTACCGAGTTACAGCAAACCTTCAATAGAGCCCCAACCCTCCTTGCTTGCAATCACAGCCCGACCTCTGACTGAGAATCCGCTTTCTATCCGCAGTCCAATGATGAACCCATGCATATACGAAATTGCGCCGTAAAGAAGCCTTGAATTATCCTGGCCGGCCTCGAGTTTCGTAGCTCGGTGGACAACACCCAACAAAGGCCCACGAGGCGTCGTCACGCGCACGACATCCGCCACCTCGAGCCCTCTATCTGCAGTGGGCAGCGATACGCTGCAGGTCAGACAGACGAGAAAACGCTGGAGCTCATGAGCAAACACCTCCTCGCCTACCCTGTCCGTTATCGCAGTGTCTACAGCGGTGAGGACTCCATTGGTGCGAGGCTTCAGCATGCTCATCTGCTACTCCGACATCCATTGAGACACGGTGGGGTGCATGGATTCTTGCGCAAAATACTGTAGCAAGAGGCTGCTAGATTGGACTGTGTGTTCTTCGTCGCTGCTGCTGCTTCGGCTCATAGCCCGCCGTGTCACACCGGTACAGGGCCCGGAGGAGAGAGAAGCGCTACGTGCCGATCGATATCTGAGGTGCATCCCCATCTGTCTTTAGTGGGCATTTCCAGCTCAGAAGCAGTGGTATCAACATTCTGCACCTGGATACCTCCAGGCAGAGTTCACATTCGGACCTCCGCTACACCCGAGTCCGTGCCATCAGCGTCAACGATATCGGCCAAAAAATTGTCATAATATTACCGAGCCTGGCGACCAGTCACGGCAATAAACTCTCCTTAGTCTTTCGGGAAGGCTTAGCTACTCCCTGTGAGACTTTTGACGCTTGGAATCGGAACGGGCCGGAACGAAGATCAATTTAAGCGCCGAAGATTCCTACCGTCATAGACACTGCACATTGTAGTTAGTGCAGAATCCGATGTCATTCGATGCCAGAAACTCTCCTAGTAGCCGTGCTTTCAGATTCTTTTCCGGGATCAATGCCAGACCTCCTTATGTCCAGTATCATCCTATGTTGGGACAAGAAAGAAGCCAAAAGTGTTTCCTATTTACAAATCGACTCCAAAATCCATATGATGTTAGGCGCTTAGCACGGCTAGCTAATTTCCCTGGTCCTCCCCGTTGAGTTGCTGTGGCTTACATTGGTGGTTGGTTGCGTAGGCGAATCATATCTAGCCGAGTGTGGTTGAAGATCGTGCGGCCAGGACCGGTATTACAACCTGCGTGCTCGTCATCTACCACCGCAAGCTGCCATTTCTACCTAGCCTCTCAGTCGGATCTATCAAAGCGCTGAAAACCTCACTCCAGAATTCACAATGAGACCATAAGATCAGGGCAGTGAACGCCAGGATGCTATCTCGTCTTCAACCTCCATCCACCCACACAGCACTAGAATCTTTCATATTCCCCGAAACACGCTGGCTTGGTGGCGATCACGATGGATGACCCTTAATATCATTTGACCGTTACCTTAGTCAGTACCAGTCACAGCAATCTACGACAAATGATGGCCGCAGTATTCAGCTCAACACGGCCAGATGGCAGGCTCTATTCACGTTTGGTCGTTTGGAGGCCATTTTGGAAGAGGGAATCCCCGAAACCAAGCTACTACACATGGAGGATGGGTGTGAAAGACAACCAGACCTGACGGCTCTACCACCCCGAGTGCTGAGAAGTCGAAATATTCCACGTCGCCTGTCCCGATGGCGCCGTCATATTCAAGGTCTAGGGACCGGCGATAAAGCCCGATAAATGGCAAAGCGTATGCAGATCACACTCAGAAAAGCCCCTGGACTTTTGATGCTGGAGACGCTACATCCGAGATATAGCCTGCTCCAAGCGGCGGGACTGGATGAAAGGGATTTTGCGCAAATTTTGCTCCAGATTGGCTCCCTGGTTGAAGCACTCGTGTCATCAAGCTATGCTTTTGCGACCAATATCCCGCGCCAGAAGTTCTCATGGACCTATCTCCAGGCGCGGAAGAATGTGGTGCAGAAGGATATGCTTACTAGGGGCTGGCGCCCATTAAAGGTTCCGATACTCTCGGGCAATCTAACTCAACTAGTCTATGTGAGTGTCACGGAGCCGGTCATTCGAGAGTCATCAGCTGACCATGGGAGCTGTAGTGAGAAAGTCTGTGTGATCAACACACTAGAATGCAGTTCCTACGAGCCACGTCCACGTCACGTGGAAGAATGTTGCAACTGTCAAAGCTTCAACGCCAAAGGGAGTGCTGATTGTCTTCTTAAGGGTAAATTCCCACTCATTCAATGCCAGGCCCCGAGCTGAAATGGGATAAATGTTACTGATGCTTCAACAATGCCGTATGTTGCCATATCTCATGTGTGGGCAGATGGTCTTGGCAGTACGGCCGAAAAGGGCCTGCCTCTTGCCAGGTCAAATGATTGAGCATTCTGGGGAAGAGCCTATTGCCTGATGGGGCTTTCTGGATTGATGCACTCTGCGTTCCTGAAAATCGTGATATGTGCAAAGAGGCAATCCGGTTCATGGCTCTTACTTACAAGAATGCTGCCATAGTACTTGTTATTGATTCTGGAATCCGATCGGTCTCCACATTAGCCCCTCGTGAGAAGAGGTTACTCAGAGTGGTGATCTCAGGCCGGATGTAAAGATTGTGGACCCTACAGCAAGCGGTGCTGGCTAAAACGCTTGTGTTTGAATTTAGAGATGGGCTGGTGAGCCTGAGCGATTTGATTCCTATCGGCGAAGAGCTTTTCAACGAAGTAGCATCTTACTTAGCAAGTGAAATGTATCGATTGAAAAGGTATAGAAAGACACAGTTTACCCTCAGTGATGTGGCTCGGGGTCTTCGTTGGCGTACGACCAGCAAGCCCGGGGACGACACTCTCGTCACATCCGGTCTTCTGAACGTGGATGCTTTGGAGTTGGCCAACCTCCCAGCTATGGAGCGAATGGCTAGGTTCTTGCACTGAGTTAACTGGCTTCCGGCTGGGATTATCTTTCTTTCCAGTCCCAAACTTACGTGGGAAGGATTTACCTGGGCGCCTAGATCCTTCATGAGAACAAAAAAATCTAGCAATCCGTTTACATCATATGATGGGATCTGCACTACTGGCGGTCTTATGGCACATTATCCTCAGGAGGACCACTATTGACCGGCAAAGCGTGTGGGCAGTTTGGGATGCCTCATAGCGGTGGTTTACAAAATCACCGACATTTGGCTCGATGACGAAGCAAAGGAAATGGGATGTCCGAGCACTTAGGTATCTGATCATTTACTGTTACCCAAATAAATCGCTCCATCGGAAACAAGTCATTGTGTAGCCATGCTGGGACTGGAAAATGACGAGCAAAGCCGAGTGACATGTCGATTTCAGAAAAGACTGATCATCCAGAGCACCTTGCATGTTGAATATTGCAAGGAAACCATTTCCATATGCTTGGATGCCACTCTCACACATCTCAGTGTGAAGGTAGCTCAGTCCATTACAGGCCACGTTTGGACCGTGGACAAGCTTTGAGGTGAATTCAAGACTGAGAGTAACTAAGGACCTGGTCTATGAGAGGAAGAATGGCAACAAATGCATTAAATTGCATGCTCGATATTTGGTCAGACGGCCAAGCCTTGCGCAAATGGGCCAGTTTAAGGAACTTTCTGGCACTTTTCATTCTGCTCTGTTTTTTGGGGGGGTTATTCTTTTTAAAAAAAGCTATCCTAAGCTCCGATGTCTTTCTATTGAATTTAGGACAACTTGATTGTAGTGTGGCTTGAAATCTCAATGTTTAGAATAAATTCATCAAGGCATGTCTTCCCAGTGCATAAATCGTTGAACCCACTTGCACAATTTGAGAGAAGCGATCAACATATCTTTCCAAAGTCTCGGTGAGTTACTGACCGTATCCTCCGTACTCTGCGAGAATACACCAAATGAGACCGATGTATAGGTATTAGAGACGGCGGTAACAAGGCCAATCAGGCCACACCTTGCTATATTGATCTGCAGTGCTCCGTACTCCGTCCGGACTACGGACCTTAGGAGTACGTTTCAATCGATAATCTAGACCTTCCCAGGTGCGGAGGTCGGATTAAAAATATATTGCCCCGATCATCATGATTCACTATTAGACACAAATTTCTGGTCAACCCCCCGCATAATCGGTCCGGTCTTTAAAATGAGCATCGATATACTATTGACATTCTACCCTATGGGATAGAATGTAAAGAATCTGGTAAAATTCCTATACCGAGTGCTCTGGAGTTGAGCATGTAACCAGACAACAGAGGATGTGACGAGAAGTGTATCTTTTGGAGACGGGACTCCACAACGGCGGAACCTCTCGGGAAGACGAGCCGCGGTAGCGAATAGAAATCAAATTGGTGGATCACATCGTGTCTTGCCCCTGACCTTCAGGGCTCGGACTATGATTAGTTCGCACAACGCCTATTATTGCCGCCTGATATCAATGGATAGGTATGATGTACTCAGTACAACTTATGATTTTTTGTCAGATGTCATTTTCAAGAAAAAGAAAAGTGAAACAAAGGGAAAAAAGAAAAAAAGAAAAACAGAGTTAATTTGAAACGACCCAGCAGGGTGGCCAGGCCCGTGCTTCCCGTTAGTTGGGTCCTTTGGTACTTTGTGGTATAAATTGGGGGGCTAAAACGGTCCGGAGATGAGTCCCATGGATAAGTAAAAGAGCAGAAGGATTTTAACGTGATGAATGTCAGTATGATCCTTCGCGCTCTTGCACAAGCCACTATGATACATGTATCACGCAGACTCCGTTGTATGCATGTGTCGTGACAAATAAGAATCGGGCCTGGAATTACCGTGCACCTCAACACATGTTTCCCGAACAGGAGAGATAGATTGCATGGTGAAAACTTGGAGTCTAGACGTGAGAGACGTAGGGGTTCCCATTATATGACACGTGAGAAGCAATTTTTTTCTCTTCTGGCTGATCAGTCGAAGAAACCTCCATTTGAATGTCGAAGATCAAATCAATTCGCCAGTTTTTATGCAGTATAAGCTCCCAGAGTGATTCCCAGGTTGAAGACACTGTAAGGATACCGTAAGATTTGGACACAGCCCAGAATTACTCACATGCGCTTATTTAGCAGACTCATATGAGAATTAACGCGAGGCGCGATAGCTACTCCGTAGTCATTCACACAAAACTTAGAAGTACGCGAAGTGGGTTCGATATTCCACATAGGGCAAGCCGTGCCTTTTCCTTTTTTCCTTCCAACGGTACGCTAGCCCGTGCATTTCCACATACATTCGCTTTTCTTCTCCTAAAGCTATTGTATCCCTCCCCCCCCCCCCAATATGGAATGGTCTGATCGATATCCGAGCTAGCGATCTATACACGTACCACCCGGTGGCCCCTCGGATCCAAAATTTATTTGAAATTTGCATTCCTATTTATCCATTCCCCCAAGACATGATTCGCTCGCCCCCTAACGGAGTACGGAGTACTCCGTACACAGTGAAATGATTGCCCCTTCTCTTGCTTTCCGACTGGTTCACTCCTCCGGACCCATCCCCATACCTATTACCGCAGTCGGTCCCGATTTACTGCCGGGAATGTGTAGAACGGACTTCCTCCGTCAACAAAGATTCTGTTTGCCACCTACTGAGTACAAGTATCATTGTTCGGAGTCCTACTCCGTACGGAGGGCAATATAGTATGCACCTTGATGCACGGTGTACACTAGGTCTAGTGGCAAATCGGCGTTGATCTAACCACTCGGAGTATCCGGTACTGCCATTCTATATTCTGCATACCCAAAGTACGAGTTGTGGATTATACCTACGTTCCCAGGCCTTTTACGTTCGGTTCTAAGTTGTACACTTCGCCCGACTTGGGAAGACTTTGCCTGACTCAATTCCCCCTAAAATTGACCCCATAATCTCCAAATTATTAATGCTCGGGCATCTAGCCCATACTAATGATCCTTTAGTGAAAGAGCTCCAGTCATTAAGCCCCATAAAAAATTATGGCTATTATTATTTTACCTATTTTTACTTAGTTTACTCCGTACCCTTGGAGCCGTTATGTTGGTAAAGGGAAAAAAAAAATTAAGAAAAACATCACATCCAGATGTCACACTTCCCCCCTCTTTGTGAACTCCTTATCTGGGCTACCTAGTGTACTCTTCTCCTCACCCCTCCTTTCAGTTTCTCGACGGATGTCCCTTTTCAATCCTTCAGGGTCTGGGGCGAAACTCTCAACACTTGAAATGATGGGGCTATTCAAGCGCAAAGATTCAAAGACCTCCATTCAAAGCGAGAATGAGAACGAATCTGTCATCACGGTCAATAGCGCTCGCACGTCAAATACGTCCTTGAGATCGCCAGGATACAAGGGAAGTGGTCCGCCAGCTTCAATTCCAGAACTCCCTATTGCCAGACCACCAGATCCAGCGTTGGACCCGGCCGCATACCTACGAAGCATCCATGCAGTGCGGGAACGCTCCAACATAATCCTGAACAAGGCCAAAAAGAACCAACTGAATCATTTCGATGTCGACATGAGCAAGTTCGAAGCTACCGCCTCCTATGTCGTTTCCATCATCAAGGTAAATCCAGGGCCTTCGAAAATCATCTGAGGTTGTATTAACATGGCTTTCCCAACAGCGAGATTATGCGCCAGATTACGAGAACATCCCCCCGCATGGTCGCTGGCAGCATTTCGACGTTGGCGGCAGACCCCGCATCAACCAGCTTCTCCAGTCCTGGCCCAGTCGCATTGATGCGCAGGAGCGCACCCGCCGTTTGATTGATTTGTTTGTTGTGTCTGTTCTGCTCGATGCAGGTGCCGGGAATGAATGGTCATACCGGTCGAAGGAGTCGGGTAAAGTTTTCTCGCGAAGTGAAGGCTTGGCTGTGGCAAGTTTGGAGATGTTCAAGTCTGGGCTTTTCAGTAGCGATCCTACGGAGCCATGTCAGGTGGATGGCGCAGGACTAAAGAAGATTACGGTCGAGGTGCTCGCCAAGGGAATGCAACATTCTGAACAAAATCCACTAGCTGGTATTGAAGGCCGCGCGGGGTTATTGATACGGCTCTCCGAGGCACTTAACAATCAAGACTTCTTCGGTGTGGACGCTAGACCAGGAAATATGCTAGGTGAGACAATCTGGCTCGTGTTTGTGCGCGTGATTGATCAGCGACTAATCTTGATTCAGATTATCTCCTCGGCCATCCATCCACACTTGCTTCTTCCGTACCTATTGTTCCGATAACCACATTGTGGACCGTGCTCATGGATGGCCTCTCTCCCGTCTGGCCCTCATCACGAACACAGATTGATGGAGTATCTATTGGAGATGCTTGGAAGTGCTCTGGTCTTCCTCAGTCTCCCCCCGCACAGCAGTGGGAAAGCATCGCTCCATTCCACAAGCTGACACAATGGCTATGCTATTCGATCATGGTTCCAATGTCGAGATTGATGCTCATCCATTTCGCCGGCAGCGACCTTTTGACAGGCCTTCCTGAATATCGAAACGGAGGCCTTCTTATCGACCTGGGACTCTTGACTCTGAAACCGGAAGATATGCAGCGAGGAATCGACGCATACAAAGAGAACGCTCAGATCAAAGGTCAACCAAGCGTTGAAGTGGCCCCGCTCTTCTGCGCCGATGACGATGTAATTGTTGAATGGCGAGGCGCTACCGTCGGATTCCTAGATGAGCTTCTAGGGGAGGTCAACGCTCAGTTGGGGCTCAACGGCTCTGAGGACCAGCTATCACTAGCACAGATGCTTGAGGCTGGCACCTGGAAGGTAAGAACTTGTCAAAGACCCTCCAAGTTAGGCAAATTCTAATAATGAACTTATAGGGTGGTCGCGAGATTGCGGAAGTTTCGAGACCAAACACCAAGGAACCCCCTATCATGATACGATCCGACGGCACTGTCTTCTAATACCCTTTATTCCCATTTCAATTGCGGCTCGGATGCCTTGATACCTTTGTCCCGTCATTTCGTTTTGCTATTTGCAACAGGCTTTTTTGATGAATTGAACTCTTCATGACCGAATACCTTCAAATCTCTTTTTCTTGTGTTCTATTTTTCCCCTTCTCTTTCTCCCTCTTTCCCTGCCAGTTGGGGCCATTTTATTTTCCCCCCTTCTTCTCTTCTTTCTTCTTTCCTCTGCATTTGAGGCTATTCATCTGATTTCCCGTTCGTTTTGGGCGGCTTTTTTTTACTGCACATCTTCTTTATTTCCCCCTTCTTTCTTTCGATTCTACATACTTCATTTCTACCTATTTTTGTCTACTTGAGCCATTTCCATAGAAGGAAGATCTTTATCTGATTTTCGGGAGACCCATTGGATGTCGTCATCCCGTAACCTCGGCCCTAAGGGAGCTCAAATAGAACAAAACTCCATAGGCAGTGCCAACAGTGCTAAAAAGTGCACAATTGTGCACTCTCATTATCTAAGTAATTTGATGGGAAATATCTATGCGAAGATTGAGTTGTCTTTCCCCCTATCTTATGCGACTAATCCCATCTCCAACAAGGTAACTATAGAGTCACGTGCTTCGGGACAATATTTTTGCGTCTCCGCATTGGAAGGCTGGAGCTCGTCACCTTTCCTTCTTGTCTTATGTCATCTCGCCCTCAATCCCATTTTCACGGCAAAATCATGCTACTGCTGGACTCTTAACCGGAAGCTAATACCATTGCATCTGAATGACCCTGTGAAGGCACTGAGTTGCCCTCCAGATCGACCCGAGTTGCTCCCGCAAGAGCGGGGCATTGAGCTCAACGGCAACCCCAAGAACAATCTGACACGATGGATGCTCGGAAGAAGAAGAGAAAGGTCCTCTTGATGGGTAAGAGTGGATCGGGGAAGTCTTCCATGCGCTCAATCATCTTCAGCAACTATGTCGCAAAGGATGTCCGACGCCTAGGCGCTACAATTGATGTAGAGCATAGCCACGTCAAGTTCATGGGCAATCTCACATTGAACCTGTGGGATTGCGGAGGGTGAGTGATGCATACTCGGCTATCAATCTGGGGGAGCCATACCACTAACACCGAGGGTTTTCATCTCAGACAAGATGCCTTCATGGAAACCTATCTAGCCTCGCAGCGCGGCAACATCTTCTCAGACGTCGCCGTTCTGATCTACGTATTTGACATCGAGTCACGGGAGGTCGAGCGCGATCTAGACACCTATCACGCCATCATCGAGGCTCTGCGCGAATTCAGCCCAAACGCCTACGTTTTCTGCCTCGTGCACAAAATGGATCTAATCCAAGCCGAGCACCGCCAACGCATCTACGACGAGCGCTCCGCCGCAATCCGCAGTCGATCCGGCGATTTCCGCGTTGACACCTTTGCCAGCAGTATTTGGGACCAATCGCTCTACAAAGCCTGGGCCGGAATCGTGCACAAGCTCATCCCGAACTTAATCGTTATCGAGCGCTTCCTAACTGCCTTTGCGAAGAAAATCAACGCCGAAGAAGTCATTCTCTTTGAGCGTTCCACTTTCCTCACCGTAACCTCCGTGACCTCCGAGGTCGGCGAGCTCAATCCTATCTACGACCGCCACGAGCGTCTCTCGAATATCATGAAAGCGTTCAAGCACTGCGCCGCAAGAAACACACTCACCACACCGGCTTCCGCTGGCTTTGTCGTCATGCACACCAAAACACCCCAGTTCAATATCTTCCTCGGCCGCTTCACGGATAACACCTACATCTTCCTCGTTGTGCCTCCCGGTGAGGCTTCGTATAACTGCGCCGTGCTCAACACCATGCTTGCCCGCGAGGGATTCTCGAAAGCAGCCGCCGGCAGCGGTGGTGGTGATGGGTTCCCTCTTCCTCCGCCGGAAATAGCAGAGGATCATGCGAATGGGACGAATGGGTATCCCGCGTAAAAATTGGTGGTTGATGTGACATTAGGTCTGGCTTTGTATAGCTAGGGATGGTGTCTTTCCCCAACCCCTTTGTTTTTCTTGTTCTCGTTATTTCTGAGACTTTAATGACAAAATACAGCTGGCGCTGAATGATGGCGTTATGGAGATTAATGGATTTCCTTGGTTTGATTCTTCTCTTCTTTTTCAACTTTCTGAGAATTGAGATACCCTGTGGGATTTCCTTGTACTTTTTTGCTTTCTAGAAAATATCATGAAACACTACCGAGGTATTTTACAAGCTATTGCGTTCGAGTTTTTTTTTTCATGAACCCCAAGTTTCCTTGGAGGGTCCGATGGCAGTTTCAATTTCATCTTGGAAATTATGTACGACGCAAGTAATCAAGTGCTAAACTCTTCTGCCCAAAAGAGCACACGTACTAAGGATTTCTTCACGGATTCTCAATTTCCCTTTCGTTTATCGCATAGATGCCGAGTTGCTGCCAGAACCCAACAGCAAGACTTTGAAACCCATCGCATTTACTTAGAACAGAATACTGTAGTGTCATGAGATTCATCCGAACCGTCTATATTTCCTCGCATCCGGTGCAAAAGCGGCCAAAGGCAGAAGAGAAAGTAAGAACATGGGAGAGATTTGATTATTTATCGGACCGGCCGGCCTCAACAGGACGAAAAAAGGGGGAGCAAAAAAAAGATAACGAGGGCAAGAAGGGGATATGGGAGGAACGGGGAGCTGTACAAAATCGGTCATCCAGAGAACTCGAATTTTTTTTTTTCATTGGATATCTGGCATGCGCATGGAAATGTCGCCCGACTGTGTAATGTATCGCACCCAAGGGAGAGAGGGGTATTGCAGCTGTGGGGTGATTGTTAGCGATGAACTCAAGAGATAAGAAAACCTAGGGGATAGGTCCACTAGTGGAAAAGACTTACCTTTGGTTCGGTGATCTTCAGATATCGCACTTGGATACCACTGGTCGTAAAATAGGGGATCTCGAACTTGACGTTGATGGGACGTTTCGCCTTGCCTACACCTCCGGCTCCACCCATACTGCCTCCGAATCCACCGGTCATACCACCGCCGCGCTCGTCGTCGCCCTTGACGGAAGGTAGACCCAGCTCTGCGCGCATGAGGAATTCCTTACCACCGCCGAATTGCTTAATCTTCCAGATGATGGCCGACTTCTCGGGGGCATAGTGCACGGTTCCGATGTTTGTGCGGAAGCGTGGGGAGTCTGCGTCTTCGGGGACGGGGACGAGAATCTCGACGTTGTTTGCGGTGCTGCGGCGTTTAAATTGGGCTTTGGCCTGGTGTGAAATCGAGGTTAGGGGTTGATGTTTTGCTATGCTAATTGGGAATTTTTTACCTTGAGCATATATTCAATTCGGGATCCCGAGTGCGATTCAACCATGCATTCCACCCAGATCAACGGCTTCACTTGTGTGTTCAGTCGGTAGCTCATGAGCTCGAACTCACCATCCGGAGGGATGAAACTGATTGTGCGATCATTCTCGAAGCGCGAGAGTCGGACACACTGATGGAACTTCACGTCCTCCATCTCGACCGATTTGCCTCGTGTAGCACGACCCGTGGTCTCGAACATGGCTTTGTCGTTCAAGCCCAATCGCAACTCTGGCATACCACTCAGATAACACTTCATCTTGACAGCGCCCAGAATCTCAGACCGCAGGACGTTTCCATTTGCCGAGACCAGTAGATTGAGGGACTCGACCACGTCGAGGAAGACTTCGTTTTTGCGGTAGCGTATCCCCTCGCTACGCCAGGAGACAGCATTTGTGACGGCGATGGGTGGTCGTGCTTGGACATCCAGCTTGTGTGACTCTTGGGTGATGTATCTGGTCATGGCATAGACCCGTCAGTTATGTTGTTTCACCACCCCAGCGGCAACATCCAGACCCAGCTGCTTACTCTTGTAGAATTTTGCTCTCTGTCGTCTGCGGGTACCCAAAATCCATCATTTCATCCAGCAATTCGTAAATGACGACGAAGTTATCCCGGATACTCTCCTCCTCCAGTACCTTGAAATATTCGGTGAAGACCTCCACCAGCTTGTGGAGGAAGAGTAGAATTTCGGTAGCATTTGTGTTTCGCTTGGTCAAAGCAAGGATATAGAGGTTGCTATGGCGGATATAAAGGTACTAAACAAAAACACTCCTGCGTCAGTAGGTGAGAGCGCACAAAAGGAGACACTCAGGAGTGAGTGTGGTTGAGGCCAAATGCCCAGACTCGGCGTTACGCACATTGATTCCCTCGTGCGAGAAGCAGGGAGGCACTGCTGAGCTTTCTTCTTCGGCATCACTGAGGAGGATGGGGAATTTCTCGACTGCGGACATGGGAATATCTCCGCGATAATTGCGGGCCAGAAGGGTCTATAGATGGTCAGCGGGGGCTTGACCCTGAAAACATTGGCGATTTCCCCAGCCAAGAGTCGCATCGTCTTTGTTTGCATAATTTTGAATAGTTTACCTTGCCCTTGAGGTCGAGGAAGAAAAGTGCCGACGCCATGACGTGTCACTGGGGGTAAGTAGGTGACGGGAGAGTGTTGATGATCTGGTCTCTTAAGGTGGGGGTCCGAAAGCCAAAGAAAAACAAAGCCAATTTATGCGCCTACTGCAGCATTGTCAATACAAGCAGTAAGAACAAAAAAAAATTAGCAGCAAATGTGGTGAGAAATGAAAGGAGCAGATCAATGGATGATGGTGATGCCCGCATGTCCCAGACCGGAGATAGACACCAACCTAAAAGCGGACTAGCGTGATTGATCACACATAAAAGCTCATCGCGCACTTTCAATTTTCTTCTTTCTTCAACGCTCCCAATAGACAGTTCAAGGCAGTACAAAGTCCTTGTGATTTTCTACAACTACTCCGGCATTCTGTCGGAGTGCTGTGGTTTTTTTAATTACTACCTTGCGATACAGAGGCGCGGAGACTACGATCTTTTTTGAGGGTTCCATAAGAGCTGGCCGAGTACTTTCTCTGTTACTCGGGCGGCGTCAGAGGAACCGTACATTTCTACAACTTCAATTGAATTTTTTTTTTAAAAAAAAATTTTGCATCTGGAAAAACATCAGAACTTGCTGTCAACTGTCATGCGATAGTTGCTTCATTAAAATCTTTGAACTTGCCAGTGGAATTCTCAGTGGTAATTGCCTGCATAAAAAGGTGGTCAGGGATGTAACAGTACGACTGCCGGAAACCGTGACGCCTTTTCCCCATTTCACCTCATGGGACATCGCTTTTCTTACTCTGCTCCACTATCTCCAGGGTTGGTCCCCTTCCTCTACTCCGCACATGTGTAAAACTAGATGACGGAGAGCACTACACAGTCATCCGCCGACGTGGACAAAAATATGCGCCTAGCGGTGGAACAATTCCGCACCAAGATGGAGGCCTCCTATCGGCAATTTCTTCAAGTTGAATCTATGAGTTTCTCCACCGAAGAGGAGAAATTGAAGGAGATGTGCATCTGGTTGTCTGATCTGACATACAAGTGTACGAATCCTCAGAATGCTACCGCTTCACCAGAAATTAGCTGTCAATCTTGCGAGGAGGGAAGTGTCATCTAATGATCTGATGTGAAGTCGCTATACCACGAGCATATGGATAATGTCAGCCCGCCAACCTTGTGGACACACGAGTGGCGCCAGATGTTTTTGGACACCGTTCAAACCGTGTGTAATGAAGTGGCCTTTCGAACCGAAGAGGACAACGAATTTGAAGTCCCGCTTTGCCACGATCTGGCTCTCTTTCTCAAGTGCGCCAGTGAGGTCGTGGATCTGGACTTTCGCTATGCGGGCATGGCCCCTTTCAATCTACTAGGAGGGTGCTTGAAACAGACCTCTGACATTTCCAAATTGCAAGAAGATCCGAGGAGAGATTCGCATCACAATAATCTTTGCGGAGAATTCTTTGTGGGGGCCGATGCGCATGATGACTTGGAAGTGTGAGTTGACTTCCAAACCGGGATTGGTGTTCAGTATAAAATAGGCGGGCATGATGCATGGCATAGCATGTATCTCTACTCTCGTCGGGACGAGGAAGACTCTGACCAGAGCCACAAGGGCTGGACATGGCGAGTGGTCGTTTTCTCATGCGATGATTATAGACAACTCCATAACAGTTAACGGGAAAAAGCCAAAATTCGACTCCATTGTCGATTTTCTGGACTGGTACAGTAGCTGGCTAGAACATGTAGATTTAGAAGAGGTTCGGGAAAATCTAGCTTCAAGTTTGGTGAGCAGTAGGAACCGGTTGGTCCGTTGCGAGTAGATGGACACTGTTTGGCAGATCGACCTTTCAAAAGCGAGAAGTGTAGATCACACTCGATGCGGTGGGTACTATGAAGATGACTCCGATGTCGTTGACGAGTAAATCGGAATGATTCGTTCTTAATCCAAAAGTAAGACTATAGAGGCATAGCTGATTTCAAGAACAACTGTGTAAAATAAAAAAAAAGTCTGTTTAAAAGTACATGTACAATCGTAGAGGTTCCCCGATTGAGGTGTTTACTCCCCAGTCAACCTACGACAGATGGAAATATCAAACAAGATAACGCCCTGAAAATGCTCCAAAGGAGACCAATTCCCCAAGTCTCAGACCCTTACGAGACCGACTTGAGTCCCAGGGGTTCAAGTATCCGCTCACGAGCCACCTTGGTGGCAACGACTCCTCCCTTCTCTAACGAAACGGCGCCGACAATAGCGTACATTGTATGCGCGAGAACGAGCTCAATGCCGGATGCACGGAGGTCGTTAGGCTGCAGTAAAGACATTCGTTAGCCGGTGACCAAGAGCACAAAGAAGGACCAGGATCGAGACATACCTTTCTGGGACTCCATCGGAGAACCTTCTGCAACTCGTACTTGTTTCCAAGCTCAGCGAGCTTCGACCGCTCGGTGAGAATCTTCTTAGTTTCACCAGAGAGGTTGTTCAATCCATCCAGAGCCGGGTGGCTGAACGGCACGCGACCAAACTCGTCCTTGTTCGCTGCCGGCGCGGCGCCTGCGTATGGAGCGTCCTGCGCCAAAGCTAGCGATGCTTGCAGCTGCACAATGCGCTTTCCCAAGAAGGCCAATCGATCGTTGAATCCGCGACGTCCTTGGTCGAAACTCTTATGTGTCACTGCCAACCACTTGGTCTCATCGGAGAGGAGTTTGTCGCCGCCATTGCCGAACAAGCGAATGTAGAATCGGTCGAGCAGTTGCGGGTCGGCATTGACGTGGAATGTCGGGCGCTTGGAGTCAAGGTGCAGACTGAATGGGGCCTTTGCCGCCGCGGGAGTGTAGGACCATCGGGGCTTTTCTTGTTGATTGGACTCTTCTGGAGTAGAGGTCGCGAAGGTGCGGGATGGGATGACTCCCGCAATTGGGCGAGCGGCAAATTTGGATGCAGCGCAGGCGGTCCTGGCCGCTCGAGAAGAAAGATTTAAAGCCATGGGGTCGGTGGTCTGCGTGTTAACTCGGAGTTGATCGAACGGAAAGCAAAGAATTCGGCCTGGGCGGTGTGGTTCTGCCGCGAATGTCCCCCAGTACATAGATACACAAGACCCGTGAGGTTTAGGTGAACTGTTGACCACACTTTTGTTTGTTTTTCTTGGGTATAATCCTCGCAGGAACTTTTTTTGGTGGACTCAGATCTCTTTGATTGTCATCTCGGCGGTTTGATATGCAGTTAAACAACCTTGGAAGCCGGAGGCAACCGGGACCTTCACCGCTGCGTGGTATCTTATGCTCGAAAGCTTGACCTGTGCATCGGATCTGAAGCGACTACTGCTGACTCCGGCCGTGGGAACCTACCACAGGCCAGCACAGCCATGGAAATTGGAGGTGGAACGTACAAAAACATCCGACTCTGCCATGCCTCAATACGTGCACGATCAAAACGGCACATAACTCATATTAACTAAGAACCCTAGAAGCCCTGCGATATGGATTATATCTCAGTGGTCAGGCTATAATGTCTATAAAAGACGCTTGAATATACACCATACCGTGGTTTGCGTGCCCAAATCAAGCACACATAGGTCTCCATTCAACTTGGGTAGGGTCCGCTATGACACGATATGTAATTGCCCCAGCTCCGAATGCTAGAAGCTTTGACTCATGCTTTCTGCATGCTCCCTATCATCGAAAACTGGGGGCTCGACTAGGTGCAAGAGGTCTCGCAGATCTCCCCACTACTTTGTCCAGCAACATCCTTCTCTGGAAGACATCGCCATTATATGATCCAACAGGACACTTGTGCTCTCTTAACTTCTAGGCTATAGGCTCAATGGACATGTCAGGTAACATCATCCAGTTATATGACTGGCTGACGGGCGATATAAGTGACGGCGCAACAGACCCTGAGCGCGGCCCAAATATCAGGGACATAGGTCTCTAGCCGCTACGGAGAAACAGCGGAGAGTCGAAAATAAAAAAAACCCCCCACCAAGAAGGGTTCCAGACGATCGAGACCCATTCAAGAGAAGCTTCGGCAGTCTTCTCGGAACACAGCCGTTCCGCAAAAGCTGCCGGGTATGCAGAGGCCATAGCTCATAGCCATCGGAAGCACGGAGCAGTATTGTTGAGCCTGCTGGGTTGCGGATATATGCAGCTGGAAAACTCGGCTGAAGCACAAGTGGTTGGCTCGAACGACCCATGCCTCTCTGGACTGCAGGATAACAGCCCTGCTGTCTCTGCGTATACCTGTCCCCTGGATTAGGCAAGAGACTGACTGTCATGTACCGGGGGGCAAAACGTGATCCACGTGTATTGGAATTCGGTCTTATTTAGCCGTGCTCGATAGGTAGGCTTCCTTTTTCTCATCTTGCCTCTTATGGTCGTTAGAAGCCTCTACGATTTGCATCTACATTCTTCTCATGACCAAGCAAATTCGCAACCCACAATGGGTATTGTGGGAGCTGGGAGCTCTAGACAATAGCAATAGGACATGTGAAATGGCAGAGGATCTTTGATCGTTTTCGAAAGATCATAATATTGAATGACACAAGAGCACAAACTCGTTGATGTTTGATGGCCTCGATTTTATATATACTTTTGAATATATTAGAAAGGCTGTTCAACCCAAACATTACTTGTTAATTAACATCGGATAATTAGACTACCGCAAATCATCTGGAGCAAACCCACTGAAACAGGATCCATCAAGAGGCTGCAAGAAACCGAATGCTCAGACCGCTGGTGAAACACGCCTGCAGCCTTCTTTGGGGGCACTTGGTCCGGGGCTGAAGGATCTATACCCGTCTTTTGCGGACCTTATACTATTTGCCTTTAAGGGAAGGATGATCGGTTTCTTCAAGTGGATCTGCACCTAATTCCCGGTCGATGCTGGCTTCCGGGGAAAAGAAACAAAGGATATAGATACACAATGATCACGACAGTTCGGGTGTGACTTTCTACGGGCACTGTCTAACGGTTTATACATCAAGTCTTCAGGCGGGCCCTTGCAGACTCTACCGAGATGTCGATCTTCACGGATAGAAGCTATCCCCAAGGTCCACGGATAGCAACGGGAATTAGGATATCTCCAAACGGCTTCTTGTCGTGATCCTTGATTGGGAAGCTCGACAGGATAGCGGTGTACGACTTGTCTGGATGGCGCGACCTACGACCCCAGCTAGTCTTGGGTTCTGGAATGATTTAAATAGAGGAGATTAACCTGTTCGGGTTTCTAGTCTTCATCCTTGGAAACACCAGAGTTCGCTGTCTTTTGCAATTTGTCTTTCGTTGAATATCTACACTTCCTTTTCTATACCAAAACCGAAGCGTTCGCTCCATTCCACTATACCCACTTTCGTTTCGTGTCTTTCAAATTTTTAAAAATGGCTTGCAACGCTACTTTTTCCTATGGCTTCCAGGCCACCCCTTCATCACTAGCCCAGACATGCTACACCTTCGCGGGATCCATTCCAGTCTGTGATCACTCGGTGCAAGACCCTCCCTCACCACGACCATTCCCACCCAACCCTCCCCCTAGTCCTGCTTGAATGGCAGTGGATTGATTTTTCTCTGTTTGGCGTTGAGGCGACACGGGACAAATAGGTGAGTGTTGTTTTATGCTGCCCCTTGATCGACATGGGTAAAGTCAAAAGAGGTACACGAGCAACTGCTGACTTATTCTGTAGATCATGCCCAGAGGCATTTCAACTACGGTCTTTACGACAAGGATGTGCATTGATAGGCGACTAGGATATCACAGTGCGATGTGTATCATTGTCAATACAATATCAACTGTGGGCGGAAAAATGGGGAAGTCCATGAGGAAGGTCGGACCCTGAGGCAACTTGAAGGAATAATGTGGGAGAGTGAACCATGAGAGTGAACAAGGATTGCGAGTGATGGATGCGTATCCTCGAGCTGCTTTTCCCATTCATATATTCATCGTCGAGCAAGTAGTTCAATGGAACTATATCAAGTGAGACCGATTGCAATGGCAATACTAGTCGACCACCTGTGCGGCGTTGTGACATTGCTTTTAATCATCAGCTGAGTAGTCGTTTTGTATGTTTTTTTTTGGTTATTTATCCCCCCTCCCTTGTCGGGTCGGTATTACAGATAAAAGTGTAGACAGTAAAAACGGCTTGTCTAGTTTCTTCTAGACTTTCCTATGTATATGCCGAATGTTCACAAATAATGAAGGTAGGCCAGAAAGTCTAGACGGTACGTGAGTATCCAGAGTTTCAAAAATCCACATTCAACGTAATTTTCGATTCAACCCATGCAAGTAGTCCAGTCCAATGCAAACCCAACTTGCGATGGAAAAGAAAATAGCTGAAGAAAAAGAAAAAGAATCGGCGCCTTTTGAGCTTGCGCCATTTGACCAGATTCGTGTATATTTGAGAAAAAGTCACTTTACTAACACAAAGGGAAATTCGGAGGTATGAGGTACGGAAACATTTTAAATCAAAGCGAGACCAACAGCACTGGCAATGCTGAGGCCAATAACAGTCCAGCCAGTCTTAATAATCACAGGGTTGGTGAGACCACGGCCCAGATCCCACATCAAGTGGCGGATGCCGTTCATGGCGTGGTAGGTGAAAGGGAGGGCCAGGGTAGTCTTGAGGAGGACCTTAGCCACGAGAGGGAGAGCACCCATGGCGGCGACCATGGAGGCCGATTCGAGGTGCCAACCGAGAGCTGGGGAGACGAGGTAGGCAGTAGCCCAAAGGTACAAGGAGCCGGAGAGAGCGACACCAGTGATACGGTGCAGAGAACTGCCGATCCAGCCGATCTGGGGCTTGTAGATGGAAAGGTGAGGGGCGACAGGGCGCTGAAGACGCTGCTTAACAAGAATCTGGCTGGGATCCTCGGTGTTTGGGGCCGATGTGACTTGGTGTCTATAGACCAACGATTCTCTGGTTAGTTTAAACTTCTCGCGATTGTGCATGACGTAGGATTTCGGGAGGGGCGCTTCATTCGAGGGCGGGCGAAACAATTGAAACTTGTCCTTTTAGCGCTGGGTAACTGACCTTGTCTGAATGTTCTTGCCAAGGGCAACAGCGACAGGGGAAGCACCCATCATAGATGACCGCATAGCGAACGGCTGCTGGACGGCAACTGTCCGGGTAAGTTAGATCGCAAATTCGGACAAGGTGGGCATTGGGGGTACACATACGCCGTCGCATCGACTGTTGAACAACCTTCTGAGAGAACATTGTGATTGCGGAGTTGAGATTGTTCTGTTTGATCAGGATAAGAAATCCCAAGTGGCTCGCGAACGATCGGAATCAACGGACGACCTCGGGTATGGGAGTGTTTAGTCACGGGACTGGCACCCGGTATTCAGCATCCTCCAATCAAATCGGGTCGATTACCAGCCGGAGTATTATTCTTCCTGCGCTATGATAGTCATGTGATCAGCTCGCCTGTTTTCCCATTTTCTTTCGGCCCGCAGTTCTCCTTTCTTTCTCTTCCTCAAGAGTCTCCGCTCACGTCGTCTACTGGTTTTTGCTGGGATGATGTCGTCGTGTCTAGCTTTCCCTCAATGACTGCGGCTTTCTGTCGTGGACGCCGAGGGATCTAGAGGCTCTCAGAAGGAGAGTCCCGTCGTTAATCGCCCGTTCCACTCTACCAATGAGGGGAAGGGGTTTCATATTCAGGGATACATGCTAGATGTATCACATCACTTGATGTTTGTAGATTTGCCAGGTTTTCTCTCGACACAGTGCGGGGATTTTGGGTTCTAAAGGCTCTCTCCAACTGCTGCAAGGCCACGGAGACGCATCCTGCTGAGAGGCATTCGTGTTTTTGCACAGTTGTGATGCTCACTCGAGTTGTGCAGCCTACAACGATAGAAATGATTAACAATCCATGATGGATATTCAAAGCACATGGTCTTTTTATCCTACTTCCTCCTCCCGGTAGAATCCTGTCAGCTGGCAACCTCAAGATTGGAGAAAGGGCAAATCAAGTCTAGGGTTCTTGTCACATGTCGAGCGGCCAACAACATCAATGAGATATCTTTTTCGTTACAGAATAGATCTAGGCATTTGATTTTGTCTGCTAGCTAACGTTTTACGTATGCACAAGCAGAGTAAAGGGCTCCAGGGCTCGTGACATATCGTCGGCGCCTCAGTAATCCAGAAATTGGACCCAACCCTGGTGCCCAGATGTAACCTCGGCACCTCGGACCTTCTCCACAATAGGTCCGCGGCTGTGACATCGGTTTATAATATCTGGTCTTCTTGATGTTCAAAGACTTGAACATCTCTTTGAGTCTTTGTTTTGAGAAGCAAACAACTAAGCGATCATCCTTACGTTAGTATTGCTGGTCCTTGTTCAGCTTACACGTTGTTGTTTACTTGAAAGATACTGACTCCACAACCATCAGATTAGATTCTCCGACCTAACAATCTTGGAAGATGCCTTTCAACACAGCTTTGACGCGGAAGCTCGGTATTCGAGGTGGGCGATGAATCAGCTATTCCCCCTCAAAACTACCAGCTGCTGATCATAAATCTAGTGCCCGTCGTGCAGGGTGGTATGCAATGGGTTGGATACGCTGAGCTGGCCTCGGCTGTTAGCAACGCAGGCGGACTGGGACTTGTACGTCGTATGCTCTTTAATAAAGGCCCTGATCCAATACAGTGTCTAACACCGGAATCTAGCTCACTGCCCTGACGCAACCAACCCCCGAAGACCTCCGCAAAGAAATCCGCAGATGTCGCACCATGACCAGATACCCCTTCGGTGTGAATCTGACCCTCCTCCCCGCCATTGTTCCCCCTGACTACGCCGCCTATGCCCAAGTCATTATCGACGAAGGAATCAAAATCGTCGAGACCGCCGGTAACAACCCAGGCCCTGTCATCACCCAGCTGAAGAAGGCTGGCATCATCATTCTGCACAAGTGTACGACAATCCGCCACGCCAAGTCCGCCGTCAAGCTCGGTGTAGACTTCCTTTCCATCGACGGCTTCGAGTGTGCCGGCCACGTCGGTGAGCACGATATCACCAACTTTATCCTTTTGAGCCGTGCGCGTCAAGAACTCGACGTTCCGTTCATCGCCTCTGGTGGATTCGCCGATGGCAATGGCCTTGCTGCTGCCCTGGCGCTCGGCGCTGAGGGGATCAATATGGGCACTCGATTTATGAGCACGGTTGAAGCCCCGATCCATCAGAAGGTCAAGGAGGCTATTGTCGCGGCACAGGAGACTGATACTGCACTTGTGCTGCGCCGGTGGAAGAATACCTCCCGTCTGTTCGCTAATAAGGTGGCTCGGGATGCATTGAAGGTAGAGAAGGAGAGTCCGAGCGGCGAGTTCAGTGAGATCCAACCCTATGTCAGCGGCCAGCGGGGTCGTCAGGTCTTCATTAATGGTGACGTTGATTTCGGCGTAAGTTCCTTCCAAAATTGGGTTTATCCGTGGGTTGGCTGAGACTTTTGTCATACAGGTGTGGACTGCTGGTCAGGTTATCGGCTTGATTCACGACATCCCGACTTGCGAAGTCCTGCTCACCCGCATTGAGAAAGAGGCCCTCGAGGCGATGACCCGCACCAGATCATTGTTTAGCGATGCTCCCTCTAGCAAGCTTTGAATGGCTTTATGTCACAGATGTGTCGTTAACCTCCTAGTGTGAAGAAAGATCCAATCAAATCAGCTGGTTGGGATTTTGGAACTTTTTTTTTTAGTAATCTACCTTTGGATGTTTCCATTTTGACTAACACTTCCAAGCTTTTGTCTATCTTCAATTCCGGAGCTAGAACGAGAGCTACCACTCTCTCAAGGGAGGTTGGTCAACGATCAATAACAAGCATTCCCGAGCGAGGGTCCGTGATATAGGATCAAGGATCTGCACGCAAATTTTCGAACACTGGGACATTCCTTCAGCTCCAACCTCCTACAATAATGATCCCAATGCAATGACGGATTCCTTTTCCAAGCGCACTTCATCCGTCACTGGAACCAGAAAAGAAAGAATGAGATTCTTCAAAGCCCGAGTCCTATTCATGCGAAGTTGAAAATAGAGTGGAGATATCCTTGCGTGCAGTTGATCATCTGGGGAATTCTTGAAAAGAAGCTACGTTTCCGGTCCAGACGATTGGTTCTGTTTCAGTTGCAGCTTCGTTTTCTCGATTGTGCCTCCTGCATCGTGGCCTTTGTGCAGGATTTCATCCACCCTGATTGGCCTCTCACGGGCAACCCTTACCACTCACTTGCGCGGGGATGCTTTTTATGCTATGAACAAAGCATTTTGGAGTTTTGATAATGACGATGAGCGGGTCTCGAGGTAAAATGTAGCTGTGATCGAGGCATCCGCCATCCAAATCGAGCAAATAGACCAAATACCGTTTCGTTGCACCGCGCTACAAACCAGCATTACCCCGTGAAGATGTAGATAGCGACATACCTCGTCATACGTATCTCCAGCCCGGAATTGAATGCAGTTGAGTTTTAGTTCCTATCGTTTCCCTCCTCCTCCGGAAGAGGGGTATTCAATTCCTATATCATAACCCCCATCACTCGACTAGCTATAGCAAGTGTTCAGAACCGGCTTCAACTTCAAACCACCCAAGTTTACATCTCCACTCCTTCCCCGTGCCCAGATCCTCCACCACCTTCGTGGATCCTCACACAGACCCAACCTGAAAATTCAAAAATGGGCTTCACATCCACTCTGTCACGTTGCATGCGCAAGCACCGCCTCTCCAGAAGACCCTCCACCACAAGCACCAAGCTGCACGACGAAGACGCCAACGATCTAATCCAAACAGCCTCCAAAACATCCTCGACTCGCGCAAGCGTGGATTCCACCTCAACCATGGTCCAGCACTCCTTCCACGAGCCAGTGCAACCATGCGAGTCACCGGCGAACCGTATGCAGATCAGGCCCGATCATGCACACATGCGGATCTTGTTCGATGGTAATGCTACCCCCACCCACCCAACAAATCGCGCGACCGGCGCCCAGACCAGACCCGCATATCCGATTTTGACATTGGATTGTCGGTCGCCTATTGAGGCGCCGAGGAGGGTGTTGCAGGCGCCCGTGGAGATTGGACGGGAGGAAAGGATGGACCAAGTGGAGGATGAGGGGACTTGTTCGGGGAAGGGTGTTTCGGGTGTGTCGCCGGCGAGAATGGCCCAGACGGGCGTTTTACCCCCCGAGAAATGTGTGTCTGAGAAGAAGTTTACGAAGTCACTTGCGGCTTTGCTGAAGAAGCATTGTGGGTTGAATATCCCGCGCTCGTCGATTTCAATCAACACGTCGCGCGGTCAACCGTCGCCGAAGTGGTTGGATTTATCTGAGATGACGGAGGAGGACGGGTTGATGGATAAGAAGAGTGAGAAGTGGGTGGAGGCGCATGAGAAGAGGATTGGTGTGTTGGGTGTCGGGTTTGGAAGACTGGGGTAGAAGCTTGTCAATTGGAGTGCCAGGTGGTTCATGTATAAATAGTTTGCCTCATTTGAGTGCTGTCCAAATTGAACGTTTAGATTTCGTTGAATGGAAGTAAACGAGGACTTGTCAGAGGTGGGTTCTACATGTAAAAAATAGTAGGTGAAGCATAATTAACAAAAGGTCACGACCGAGCGCTGATGGCATATGAGTCGCCCAGTTAAGAGATATCGAACTTCAGGTACACAGAAGAAAGTAGCATGGAAGAAACAGTTTTTTTTTCATTGCCAGCTTCCCAGGCTACGGCGGGAGTGCAAGCGATTGTAATTAAGTAAAGGAGACGAATGAGGAACAACCGTTGGTGAACGGTTCAGACTACGAGGCAGAGACAACAGCTCTTCAAGCTGACAGTCAGTCAGAAATCAAGAAAAGATCTTCTTTCTCCGAGTGCTACCATACGATGCAGTCTAGATACAGCAGGTTTGGAATGAACAAGACATGAAGCTAATCTAGAAGCCAAATCCTTCTTCCCAGCCCGAGACAACTAACAACCTCCCGTGTCCGCTGATGACGAATTCTGCGCCAGAGTCCAGAGAGCTGCCAGGATGACCATAGCTGCTTGTCTGGTGCGAGAAGTCGACGTGAGACGCTTAGAGGATGGAGCCAAGGGCAACGCAGGGAAGGCCAAGACCGACGAGGTCGGAGCTCTGTAAAAGATGTTAGTGTCATTAAATCGTAACTTATCAATTGAGGACTCACGGCGCTAGAAGGAGAATTCTGGCAACAAGCAATGTTCTGCTTGCACTTCTGGTTGATGAGGTCCTGAATGGGGATACCAATGAGAACAGGGATCTGGAGATCCAGCTTGGAGCACTGGTCGAAGAGACCAAGGCCAGAGGCACCGGAACCAGAACCGATGAGGTTGCTGAGGGTACCTCCAAGGATACCAGAGTTGATGTCGGTGGTGTCACCAGCGTAGACAGCCTTGTTGCAGCAAGAGAGCTGAGCCTGGTCACCGCACTTGGCCTGCGCCTGCTTGACGGTCATGTTGTCGGGGACAGAGAAGCGAACGTCAGTGTTGCCCTTGTTGCCGACACCGTTACCGCTACCAGCACCACCGGCGGCAGGGACGGCAGGGGGAAGAGCGTAGGCAGTGGCGGCGAGGCCGAGGACAATGGCGGAGAGAGAGAACTGCATTGTGATGGTTTGGATTTGAACGAGAGAAGACTCGGAGAGATTAGAAGATTTGAATGAATAGAGAAGGAAAGCTTGAAAGAGAGTGTTTGCTGTGGATGAAGAAGAAAAATCTAGCCCAGGCGAAGAACCTCCTCATCTTTATAGATTTGGACTGGCGGTCTGTGAGTTGTCCAGACTCCATCTTCCAGGGCCAAATTGTTTTGCTTCCTCGCTCATCTCCAGCATCTCCCCGGAATGTAACTGGGAAGGGAAGGGAGAGGCAGATCGCTCCACTCTGCAAGGCTTGTAAACCAACCAGGGTACTTCGGTGGATGCTCCCTGGTATGGATCTACTGCGAGGTACTCACTTCATGCGACTCGAACCTGCCCTAGCATTCCCTTATCCTCGCGCTCGTCTGGTAGAGACCCGAGGCCCCCAATTCGTCTGTGACGTTGGATGAAAACAGGAGGTCAAATCAATTCAGCTATTCACTTGACAACTGAATCAACATTCATAGCCTGTAGACCTCTACACACACACACACACACACACACACACACACACCGTAAGCT